CAAATGTCTAGGTCAGTGCCCATTTGAGTCAAGCAGTACCCCATCAGTTCAGAAACCAGGGGCGAGATTAATATTCACATCAGGTGCCTCCTTAAAGCAGGCACACTTGTTCCTTGCCAGTCAGCATGGAGTATCTGCTGCCTGTGCAAAAGCCTGAAACTTGAGACCATAGACCAAGACAAAACTTGAAAGAAGTGAATAGGGGGTAGAATCCATTTATGCAACTGTTCCAAATCCCTTTGCCTTGCTCAGATTATTACCATGAGAGCATAATGTTTACATACTGCATTGGGCTTCTAAGATGCATTCTTTGCCATCCCTCTGTCAAAATTAAGTCAGCCCATCTCCAAATTTGAATGGGCTGACCCTGAACTGGGGATATCAGGACAACTAACCTGGAGCAGACTGCCTCAAGGGTACAAAAACTCTCCAAACACCTTGGATGAAGCACTCTACCAGGATTTAAGTCTCTTCTGTAGTAAGTACCCTGAGGTAACCTGGCTTCAATATGTAGATGATTTATGGCTGCTAAAGATGAGGAGGACTGTTTGAGAGTCACCAGAAGCTAACCAGTCAGACATGGAGTAAGAAGGGTAAAAAAGATATACAGAATAAAGATAAAAGCTCAGAAGTAAAAGGGGGATGGTTTAATTTAAGAAAAGCTGGATAGCAACAAGCCACCCTGCTGCTGTATGAGGACTCTGTAGAGCCCATCCTTCACAGCCCAGAGATTCTGGACATCATCCCAGATATACAACCTGACCTGACTGATGCTCCTGTCACTACCAGAGATACAGATCTCCATAAAGATGGCAACAGCTTCATTCAAGAAGGAACCAGGTATGTGGTGGCCATGGTAGTCACAGGCCAGAAGAAGGCCATTTGGGCACAAGCCTTGCACAGGGGTGCATGTGCCCAGAGAGCAGAAATAGACTCTGAAAGATGCTTTAAGATGGGCTGAAGGGAAAAAGGGTGAGTGCATACACAGACAGCTACTATGTTTTTGCCACAGCTCATGTCCATGGACAGATATGTGAATAGAGGGGCTTACTTCAGAGGCAAAGACCATTTAAAATAAATATGAAATTGTCCAGTTGCTAGAAGGTCCCTGGCTACCAACTGAACTGGCCATTATTCACTGGCCAGGATAGCAAAAAGACAAAAGTCCCCAAACTCAAGGTAACAACCATGTATATCAAGTTGCCAAAAAAAAGACTGCTCATGGGAACCCAAACCCAAGACTGTTCTGGAACTATCTGCTGTCCCTGAGCCCCCACTTTGTCTCGATGAAGATATTCCTGAGTACAGTCCACAAGAGATCAAGTAATATTCTGATTGGGGCCTCAAGAGAGCTGACATAGATGGTGGCCACTGCCTGATGGAAGAAGCTGCTTGTCAAATGTACTGGGCCAAAGCTGCTAACAGCCTTACATCATGCCCTTGTCACCTAAGAAGAACTTAGAACTCATCTCCCCTCATGGCTGACTGCCTGGACACTGAGAAACACTTGATGATTGACCTGTGCTCAGGTAAATTCACAGAAGAATATACGTCCCCAGACCAACCGAGTCAAGGTAAAATGTTCACTGAAATCAAACCAGGACTGTAGGACTATAGTATGTACAGGTCTTTGTCAATACCATCACAGGCTAGGTAGAGGCATTCACATCCCAAACAGACACAGCCCAACAGGTAACTAAGAAATTACTAATGGTAAATTTTCCCAGATTTGGCTTCCTCATATATCTGGGTTCTGGCAATGGCCTGGCCTTCACAGCCAAGTTATTTTAATTGCTCTCTAAGTCTCTTAACATAAATTGAAAACTTCATTATATTCATCATCCTCAGAGCTCAGAAAAAATAGAATAAATTGAACTTTAAAGAAGATTTTTTCAACAAAATATATTTTTGAAAATGGTGGTAGCTTGATTGACCTCTTGCCATTTGTCCTTTTCAGAGTCTCATATATTCACCACTGAGGAAAGTTTACCCCATATAAAATAGTCTATGAGCAACTACCTTCCATGATCCCTCCGGTACAGGCTAGACTGTTATCAGATTGTCTCACTCCCTCTGAGTCCTTAAAAGGATGGCAATTAACTTAGCATAAGATCTCCCTCAGGTCTAGGCTGCTCAACCTGCTGGGTACCACTTACTTCATCACCTGTTCCAGCATGGGGATGCTACATTACTCAGGTACTTCAAAACTAACCAGCTTGAACCTAGATGAAAATGACCTTATATTGTGATTCTCCAGACTCCTATTGTGTTTAAAGTCACTGATATTTCTACCTGGATTCATCACTCATACTTCAAGAAGACATCTAAAGATCAGGGGCATTTTGTTTCATGAATCTCTTAGGCACTGTAATCAAAACTTAACATGTAATTAAGGTTCTCAGTTTGGTTGGAGTCTCTGGCTCACTCCTGCGTGGTCTAGGAAGGTCTCTCTCTCTCTCTCTCTCTCTCTCTCTCTCTCTCTCTCTCTCTCTCTCTCTCTCTCTCTCTCTCTCTCTCTCCCTCTCTCTCTCTCTCTCTCTCTCTCCCTCTCCCTCTCTCCCCCTCCCCCACTAGCTTGGAAAGTTTTGAAACAAAGGAAAGGTGCCAAAAGCCCAGACTCACATTCTTGTCAGCTATTACAGCTTTCACTTTGAAGATGCCAGCTTTTGGCCATACTTGAACACAACCCCAGTCACAACCTCTCAGCTACAATGTGTATAACTTTCCTGCCCTGGCACAAGCGCATCATTTCTCTGGTCTCATTCTCTGAGATGAGTGAACCCACCAGAGAATTGCCTTGCCCAATAAACCTGTTTCTATAATTTTTCAGTGTGGCTTTTAATCCGGCTTCCTTCATCAGTGGGGAAACTTACTATGGGGGGATCCTATTACATCCTGCCCTTGAGTTGTATCCTCAGTCAAATCCTTGACTCTGTGATGGGAACTTATTTATATTGGGATCTAATAACCACCAGTTTAATGGTACCCAAACAGGAACTGTAATTTAAGGCATCAGTTATGCAAGAGCCAAAGCAATTAGCATAAACAGACCCTGTGATGACTAACATGGAGTTACATCTACACGGAACCTGGAAATGAGAATGGGGACCAGTTATTTATTTCATCTCAGGTCCCTGTTTTGCAGCAAAATTTTTTAGTACTGCTAATGATTCCTGATTGTCTTATATAGAAACAACAATTGTCTCTTCAAACTATACCATAACCTCTCTGTTTTACATAGACCAGGTTGAGTGTGCTACCATATTGCAGAACTATCTCAGCTAATGAATCCACCTATTGATAGATCCAGTCTATTTGGATTTAACAGGTACCTTTTATTACATGCCAACAGGCCCTATAGGTATCTATTTTGTCCCCTATGGCAGAGAGTTTCCTTTTGATCTAACATTCCAGCCTGTTGGGGGACAAAGGGCAATAAACTCTCTTTTGTAACTACTTCCTGCTGAAAGTAGGGCATTATTGTCAGGGCCCAGGAGGGCTATATTTACTGCTAGGCATGAGCCAGAAGGGAATTTGGGTAATGGTATATTCATCCCAAGCATCTGGTTTGCTGATCCAGCTGAAGAGACAGGGAGCAGTCACATCAGCTGTACTGGTCCACATTACATTTCAGCAAATCATTTGGAACAGGCTGTAGTCAGGAGCTGATGCTTGGGTGTGTCTGTCAGCCAAGTAGAAATATCCTGAGACACATACAGACTAGGAGACAACATTAAAATATAGGAACTTAAAGGAAAATATTATATTTAGAATGTTCAGTCTCATACTTATAGTAGTTGGGGAAGAGGAGGAGTTCCAAGACCAGGACAGACAGACAGACAAACAGGCAGGCAGACAGAGAAAAGAAGAGAGCTTCCTCAGGAATAGACAAGTGGGGAAACTTAGGCGGTACTTAGCTGGAGTCCTTTAGACCTGTGAGAGATGAATACAAGTCTTGTGACTCCCAAGATTCTCTGACGCTTACATCATAATTTTAGCTTACAAAAAGTCATAAAAGTTTTAGATATATTAGCATTACCAATCTGCACCAATATCCACATTGAAGAAAAAGGAGATAACAGGTTTCTGAGAGGCACCTTTAAGTCTGTACGTAAAAGACAACCAAAGGAATTTTAAAAACTTGAATTTGTGAATAAACAGTAAGTAGACAGTGCTCTACCAGCTTATCAGAATTCCATTGAACATGGTTAAAACTCTGAACTTTTAAAATCTTAGTATAACAACAGTATTGAAAGGGGAAAGAAATCTGAAACATTTCCCTTTTACACACCTTAATTCACTTACACTTTTGCAAGTTGCATTTATACATCTTAAATCATTTTCTGAGATCATCAGAACTTATTTAAGCTTTTACATTCTCAGACCAACATATATATATATATATATATATGTATATATATGTATATGTATATATATCTTAAAATGTTTCCTTACACCCTAAAAATTTGTGTAGACTTTAACCCTTTTTCTTTCTATCTAATCATCTACCAGAGACATAAAGTAGCTACTACTGAGAAAAGTCATTGAAAATCATGTCCTTTAGTGCAAAATTACATCTGAAACCTGCTTATCTTTTAATATTAAGCATGTTAAGAAGACATTTGTTTCTTCTTAAAAGGAGACTTAGTAGCTCCTGAAAAAGCAAGGCCTAATTTTTTACATATGAAATGAAGAAACCAGCTGACTGCAACTTTGGGAAACAACCTGGTAACCTGCTTCTGTTAATCTGATAAAACTATAGTTAGCCTAGCCACCAATACCATCAGTGATCTGAGAACAATAAACTATACCAGAAAGTATAATCTAAATATCTATGAATCAATTAAAATGACAGACCAATCCATTATATACATGGTCATTCCAGGCTCTGTGTTCTACATGGTGGTAGGGCAGAGGTACCAGGACAGCATCAATCTTCAGCAGTCAGGCCAGGAAGATGAGAGGCTTTCTTGTGAAAAAGGAACAGATGGGATACTGACCTTACTGTGTCTAGACAATGTGGGGCAAACAACTCCCAGTGTCCTGCTTTTTCGTAGTTTGTGCTATGTCCTGCTTACAAGTGTAGCATTAGGGCTACAATATTGCCCTGTGGTTAACACTGTCACAATGCAAGTGACGTATGTCATAATGGCACCTACCATCTTCTTTGGAGACTTTGGAGTCACTTCTAGGAGCTAGGGTGTTTCTGTCATAATAAGTTTTTTTTTTCATTAAACATTTTAAATGCCACATTAGTCAGTCTCTAAGAAGTTTGAGGACCGTTTTCTATTAAGTATATCTGAGCTAAACAAACCCAGACTTAAACTTGAAAACACATATCAGAGGCTAAATAAAGCTTTCTTCTATAATTAATTACATTAATGCTTAGTGTGACTATAAGTATAGTTTTGAACACATTGAAGAATTTCATCATTTATGTGGTGACTGAGTTGAGTGTCTTCATCATCTTTAACAGTTTACAATTATAAGCTTTTATAAAACTAGGACTTTACAACCTTATCTCTGATAAGTTTGGGCCTTAAAAATAACAATTTCTGGGTGCTGGAGAAATGGTTCAATGGTTAAGAGCACTGACTGCTCTTGCAGATGACCTGGCTTTTGCTCCCTGCAACCAAATAGAGGCCCACAGCCATCAAATCTGAATCTCTGGCCTCTGTGAGCACTGTATGAATATATGGTGCACAGACATATGTATAGACAAAACACCCATATACAAAATAAAAATAATTAAACATGACAATTTCCAAATGAAAGTTCCTTTCTGCATCAAAATAAAACGTTCAGCTCATAAACACAGACCACAGAGAAACTGAGAAATTTCCTAATCTTTTTTTAATTTTAATTTTAAATAGCTTGTTTTACATGTCAATCCCAGTTCTCTCTCCCTCCCCTCCTCCCACATCCCCCCACCATCCCCCCCATCCTCCCACCCTATTGCCAATTCCTTCCGCATAGGGGATATCTAGAGTCTATCATTTCACTCAGGGTAAGGTCCAGGTACTTCCCTAAGAGTCCAGGCAGAGAGAGCAACCCTCTTTGTGTTATGGACACACGATGTCTGTTAGTATTCGAGGGATAAACACTGATCCACTGCTCAGGACCCCATAGGTAACCCGGGCCTCCTCATTGACTCTCACATTCAGGGGGTCTGGATAGGTCTCATGCTATAATACACCATCACAGAATATAACAGATTCTTATATGACTCAGTTTATCAAAGTAGCTTAAGGTTAAGAAAGTTAGCAAAGATGAGGCTGCTGGACATACAGTCTCAAGGATGACTAGACCTTAGGTAAGGAAAGACATTCTCTAATCCAGTGCTTCTCAACCTTCTTCATGCTGCAACTCCTTAACACACTTCCTCATGTTATGGTGACCTCCAATCTTAAATTCATTGCCATTGATATTTCATAACTGCAGTTTCTCCACCCTTATGAATTACAATGCAAACATCCAACATACATATGGCTCTAGGCTATCCCCTTTATAAAAAGGTCTTTCAACACCCCAAAGGTCAAGATTTATAGTTTGAGAAATTATACCCTTTCTTCAGATTGCTTAGATCACTGTTTTGCTACAATTGTTACAGAGGAACATCCCAATTTCTGGTGTTTATTATTTGGTGCCATAACTGTGGCCTTAATTTTTAACCTTTTATGTCTTTATTTTTAAATTTAAATATTAATAATATAAACATTTCTTAAACCTAAAATTTTCCATAGCATTATAAATTCAAATATTTTAAAAGCTGTTCTTAAAAAAATACAATTTTTAACTTAAATTTTCTGTAAAACCACAAAATTCCCACTTTAAAAAAGTTTAAAATCTGATGGGGTTGTCCTTCTGTATGCTGTGAATATATGCTTCTCCTATTGGTTGATGAATAAAGCTGTTTTGAACAGTGGACAGGCAGGATATAGCCAGTCAGGAAGCATAGGTGGGGCAACCAGACTAGGAGGACACTGGGAAAGGGAACACAGAGAATGAGTTGATGAGCAGACACACGTCACTGCCAACAAAGCAATAGGCCTGCGTATCACCAATACGCCAAGCCCATATGTAGATACACAGATTAATAGGAATGGTTAATAATTAAGAGAGAGCAAGCCAGTAAGAAGCCTGGGCCGTAGGCCAAGCAATTATAATTAATATTAAGCCTTAGAGTGGTTATGTGGGAACTGGTGACTGTGGGACCAGGCGGGACAGAAACTTCTGTCTACAAGTGGCACCCAAATGCTTGGCAACAATATTCATGTAAAATTGAGCTGCAGTGAACTTCCTAGTCTCACAGTCTCATGCAGGCCATGGTGCAGAGACACTGTGGCATTCAGGCGTAAGCACACAAAGGAGGATTCCTGCCACAGTACACAGAGGCTGTCTGCAAGACGCACAGCATGCTGCATGGCAAATTTAGCTTTTACACATACAGACAACAAAGGTTTATGGGCAGTGTGCTATAAGCTGCTTGGATGGCAGCATAGAACAGAGTTGAGGTGGTGAACATACCTCCAGAGCCGGTGGCAAATGTAACCCCAAAAAGCTGAAAAGCTTAACTGGGTGGATCCAGCAACCACTTTAATCCTAGCTATACTGCTTAGCAGGTTAAAGACTCATGTGCTCAGAAAAAGATGGAGATACACAGTAAAGAGAGATTCAGAGAAAAAAACAATAAGCCTCTATATGGTTTAAAGTGTGTTTGAATATATTTACATAGTCTTGGGAGAGAAAAGAAAAAGGATAGAGAAAGTCCTTAAAAAAGAGAGTAGCTGGGTGTGGCACATGTCTTTAATCCCAAAACTCCAGTGGAAGACACAAGCAGGTCTCTGTAATTTCAAGACCAGCCTTTTTAACAGTGTGACTCTCAGACAGCAAAAAATACACAGAGAAACCCTGTCTCAAAAATGAAAAAGAAAAAAGAAAAAGAAAAGAAATAGAGTAAAAAATAAAAAACAAAACTAGGCCACTTAAAGATGGAAAAGAAGACCACCTGAAGCAGTGACTCAAGGGATCCAAAGTCCAAAACAGCTGAGACTATGCAAGGTCAGACTGCTACAGCCAGGATTTGGAAATGGTTTTGGGTTTTCTCAGGAATCCCTTGGGATTGAAGTGGCCCTAAACAGAATGAAGCAGTTTGGAAAGAACTATGCCCACATTCCCAAATATTGCTTATAAATATTTATTTTAATTTAAATGGGGTTGGTTTCAAATGGTTAATGATCACAGTCAACCTCTTTCTAAAGAAATATAGGAATATGATATAAGAATGAATATTTTACATTGGTATGGATTTTGATTTATTGACAAAAATTTAAAGTCAATTTTGTTGTATACATATTTACTCTTGTTTAGGTATTGTGTTTATACAGTTCTTTTAAAAATGTAATGTATAAGGATTATAGATAGTCACCTATAATAGTCAAAACTTATGTTAGTTAGATTTTCTAGATTTATAGAGATATATTTCAAATGGGTAGCTATTCTTCAAAAACTTTTCAAAGACCTAGAGAATACAGCATTTAAAATGGTTTATTAGGATTTTTCATGACAATGAGACACAACTGTTCCTGGCAAAATCAATTATGTCAGAGAGAAAGATGGGCATCAAAGAAGCTCTTTAGGTAGTTTTGCTTTCAATATGGTAAGACTAGACAACTGGGAAGAAACTGCTCTGGCCTGGACTGTTGACTGTTGCTGTATAAACTGGATATGCAGGACCCACAGGAAAGGGACTGCTGAACTTGACAAAACAAGATGGGACAGTCCTTCATGGCTTCTGCTTTATAGAAGAATCTGCCAGATATTCTGCAGGATGCAGAGAAAAATGACTGGCAAACTGCCAATGCAGGTCTTGAGGAGCTTGGATGACCTCTTTGGGCCCACCATCGGCAACATGAACACAGTCTGCCTTCTACAGCTTGACTCCACTCCATTGTGGCTGGTGGTTCTGGTGACTGTCACATGACACCAACATTTCCAAAGCTGCTAAGGTTCCCAATGACAACTAGGTTCTTTGTGGGAACTCCAGCCTTGTGACACATCAGCCAGCCTCAGGTATTCCCATGTCTTTATGTCTTTAAAACCATTATCACTGGCCTAAGCCGGGCATTGGTGGCGCACGCCTTTAATCCCAGCACTCGGGAGGAAGAGGCAGGCGGATCTCTGTGAGTTCGAAGCCAGGCTGGACCGACAGCCTCCAAAACAATACAGAGAAACCCTGTCTCATAAAACCAAAAAAAAAAAAAAAACAACAACAACAACAAAAACAAAACCCATTATCACTGGCCTAACTCTTGTGTTACAAAGTTTGGCTGCCAGCACAAATTCAGTCTAATGTATGAGCGCATGGAGGTGCAGCTTTAAATACCATCTTTCATAAACCTTGTTTTCAGGGCAAGACAGGGATTACCACACAAAACTCCTTCCTAATCCAAAATATCTTAGAGATATGTTACTGCCTCCTTGGTAGACCAACCCTATTTAAGTGGTCACCTTTTATCAAGATGATTGTAAAGTCACATGACATCTATCTTCTCCAACCCTAGCAAAGATGGCTGTCAGACATGTTGCTGCCTAAGGATGGATCATGCCACAAGGTTTCTTTAGGATCACCTATGTATAGATTTTTAACTGTCAACTCCCAGTGTTAACTAGTTTTAAGTTATTTTCTTTATACAGATTTTATATATTTTTAACTATGTCCAATAAAAGAAATTTACAAATCTTGAGGTACAGAATGTTCACATAAACCATGTCTAATTTTTTTGGCTGCTCTTCTTTTCTTTATTTTGCCTGTCACCGTATCAGGTGACTCAACTGACATGGAATATAGAGGAAACTTTCAAATATACTCAGGTCTAGAGAAGGGAGAGACATAACTCACCTCTAGAACAGCATAAAACAACTTTAATGTCATCCACAACAAAAGACATCTGAACTCCTGCTAGCCAAAATCCAGTGGCCAGTTATAACACACACAAAAAAATTAAAAACCCAGTGATAGATACTGGGGTTCAAGCTGAAAATCATGGAAGCAAACCAGCAAAGATACCAGAGGGCTCTTACCTCTTACAGGGCTGG